TAGATTTAACTGATGTATTAACCCTAACAAATAGGTGGCATTAATTAGTAGGGGTACACCACAGGTTACCCGATCCCATATTAATATACATTTAGGTTGTCTCCAATTTTTCCACACCCGCAAAAGTGTTTCTTTTGCAGCCCACATGTCTAGGAGCAGAATTGCCAAGCAAGAGGTTGTGCATTTAAAAATTTAATAGATATTGTCAGATCATCCTCAAAGTAGCTGAATTAACATATACCCCCACATTCTTGCATGAAAGGCCATTTTTTTGGGTGGGGGAGATAGTCTTTAAACTGTGTCCAATGGATGGATGAAAATGATCTGATTCTTGCTTGGATTTTTCCTTTCCCTGATTATGGGTGAAGTTATACATCTGCCATATATGTTCGTTGGCCATCCGGGTTCCTTTTATGAAATGTATGGAGATGTTTTGTCCATTTTCTTACGGGTTCTTTGCCTTTTACATATTTACTGCAGGCGTGGCTCATTTATTAGGTTTATTAACAATGTATTTACATATGTTTTAATATGTTTCCAGATAATCACTTGGCTTTTTTCTTTACCATGTTTAAGATACTTGTTTCATATAAAACTGTGCTAGTTGCTTCTAACTCAAATTTCTCATTGTTTTTCCTTTATGCTTTTTGGATTTGGTGTCTTCTTCAACCCCTAAGGTTAAGGAAATACTTGAAATGCTTTTACCATTTCAGTTTTGACTTTTAGATCTTTAATTCACCTGGAATTTGGAGGGGCAGGTAATACATAAAGTAGTAATCTAACTTTAAACAAATTATCAGCTGTCTCAACATCATAATTATGAGTATGTAGCCTCCACGATTAGAAATGCCACTCTTACCTCCCAAATTCCTACTAGGTTATTTTCCTTACTGTTTTCCATTCCATCTGTCTACGATTACATTCCCCATTATTTTTCTGGTGAAAGAACCCGTCTCTCATGTTTGGTTTGTTATAATCTAGAATCAGTTTGTCATGCACTTTAAAAATCCTTTTGGAGTTTTGATCTAGATTGCATTGGATTTAGAGATTATTGGGGGGGATTGACCTCTGGAGATGGCAGTTGTGGGCAGCCTTCCCCTGTTGGTTCCTTTGATGAGAAGAACACGAACATTTTCCTTTTGACTCTGACGTCACTACAGATTTCTAGTAAATGTCCAGAAACGCCAACATTCCCTTCAATGTCTCCTTTGCCGAGGTTCATCTGTTCGTTTGTTTCGTCGGGAATGGCTTTTGTATTATCGAATACTGAAAAGTATCTGTCAAGATAAGCTGATCCTTTTTTCCCTTTTAATCTGTTGGCCTGTTTCTTTTAATCATGAAGAGATTTCTTAATGGCTCTTCATCCGTTTCTGGAATAATCCCCATGTGGCCGTGATGCATTCTTCTTTTAAACATCTTTGTCAGATTGTTCTATGACATTCTTTTTGTCTGGAATGAATTTGTGTTTTGCCTTTTTTTTTTTTTCCCATCTCCAGTTTTTATTCCTACCATTAAATTTCTTCACGAGTTTGGGAATTTTGGTATGCATGTTTGTTTTGAGTGAAAATGTGTTTGCTTTTTCTCTTTTCTTTTCTCCCTCTCCTATCAGTCTTTTGCTCCCATGCTTACCTCTCACTCTTAGTGGTTTTTAACCCTTACATTTTTTTAAAAAGATTTTATTTATTTATTTGACACAGAGAGAGAGACAGCGAGAGAGGGAACACAAGCAGGGGGAGTGAGAGAGGGAGAAGCAGGCTTCCTGCAGAGCAGGGAGCGCGATGCAGGGCTCGATCCCAGGACCCTGGGATCATGACCTGAGCAGAGAAGGCAGACGCTTAACCGACTGAGCCACTCAGGCGCCCCGATTAACCCTTACATTTTTAACACACGTATTTAATGTATATTTTCCCTCTGCTTTTGGGTGTAATTAACACACATATGCTTCTCCAAACAAGACATGATCTTTAGCTTAAAAAGCTTTCAGTTCTCCTTTGCTTTCCACCCCTAATCTGACAGCCAACTCCCACATTAAGATCATCTATGTTTTACTTCAATATTGTGATTGTGAATTCACTTATTTTCACTTTATAAATAACAATTCTTTACTCAGTATAAATCTTATTGGCTTCTTTTCTTACCACTAATTTCAGTATCATACACTATCTTTCTTGGACAGTTTTTCTTTTTCCTGAAATACATCCTAGAGTGATTGTGTTCCTCAGAAAAGACCTGAAATTTTTCTTTGTCTTACATTTCCAAAATGTGTTTTTCTGCCCTCAAGTGTCATTGTAACTTTGATTTTTTCAATGATTCTAGGTTTAAACATATTTTCCCTCAGTATTTTCAAGACATCATTATCTATTTAGAGTTCAGGATCACTTGTGAGAAAATCTGACCAACCTGACCTTTATTCCATTGAAAATAATGCTTGTTTCCTTCTGGAAGCTTCTAGGAGTATCCTTTTATTTTGGATGGTCAAAAGTTTACCAGCATGTGATTGAGTATGGCATTATTAAAAATGGAGTTTGCCCTTCCCCACTTAGTGGACTGTTGTCTCCTTGAAGCCCTGTGAAGTTTTCTTCTATTTCCCGTTGCATCTGTTTTGTCCCCAAACAACGGTGGCTTAACAATATGGAAGGTTTTTTTTGTTTTTGTTTTTCTCACATAAAAGATGTCCAGAGGTAAGCACTCTCAGGCTGGTATGGTTGCTCCACAGTGACAAGAATGATCCAGGCTTCCCTCTTTCTGTTGCACTGGGTTCCATCCTCAAGGTAACCTTATGGTCCATAACGGCTTCTGGAGCTCCAGCCATCACTTCCAAGTTGTAGGCTGGAAGAAGCAGGAGAGGCAGGAGGGCAAACATGGACCCTCCTACCTGAGCCATCTGTCTTTAAGAAGCCTTTTCTGGAAGGCACACCTGTTGTTTCCACTCACATCTCCTTGGGCAATATTTAGTGACATGACCATACCTAGCAATAAAAGAGAGTAGGAAATGTAATCTTTTATTCTGTGTAGCACCAAGCCAAGCTGAAACTTGAGTTTCTTTTACCAAGGAGGAAGGGGACAGCTCAGAAGCTGACACTGTCTGCCACATGGTTTGCAAGTTTAATATGATTTAACTTCTTATATTTAAATTTGTAACTAACTTGATATTTGGCGATGGTGTGGGGTAGAGATTTAGGTGGATATGTTTTACAATGTTATTCCAGTACCTTAGCACTTTTTATATTCCATCCCTTCACATTGATTCATGAATCCTCCATCACGTAGTACATTCTCTGGTAGAATAGAATTGCCTGCTCATTATGTCCATTGATCTATCATGTGTGTGCAACACACTGCTTTACTTACCGGATCTTTGCAATAAATTTTGCTATTGGGGAGAGCCTCCTTGTTTTCAAAAATCTCATTAACTGTCCTCACATATATATATTTTTTCTGAGTTCCTGTAAAAAACATCATGTTAAATTTTCTTTGGAATTGTATTAAACCTCTAACTTATTTTAGGATGAATCACTCTCTTTACATATGTAGTATTTCTACTTGTGGTAAGACCCAAATAGAAGCTCTGGGATTGTAGGCTAGTTCCAGGTAGGCAAACCAAGCTGTACCAGCCACAAGGACTCACACCCTTATCCGGTGGCATTGCCCCCATCTGTAGGTACTGAAGTGGACAAATACTCTCCTCCCCCAGCTCCAAACAAACCCACTCTTCTTTCCTGGGCCTCTTCTTTTTTTTTTTTTTTTAAGATTTTATTTATTTATTTGAGAGAGAGAGAGAGCTCGTACACAACCTGGGGGAGGGGCAGAGAGAGAGGGAGAAGCAAACTCCCCACTGAACCCAACTCAGGGCTCAACTTGGGGCTCGACTTGGGGCTCGACTTAGGGCTCAAGTCGGGGCTTGATCCCAGGTTCCTGAGATCATGACCTGAGCTGAAGTCAGATGCTTAACAGACTGAGCCACCCAGACACCCCTTTCCTGATCTTTTATCGGACTAACCGCTCTATAAACATCACTGCATTGGGTTCCTCTCATGTGAGATATGTGTTTGTGCCCATGTAACTGGTGCAGAGAACAAGGTTCAGGGTGCACTGGTGGTCAACCTAGGTCGCTGGCGTGGAAGGGACTGAGCCTGTGCTGAAGGTCAAGTTGGCTGCATCCAGAGCTGTGCTTTTCCCAGTAAGACAGTTGCTGCTGCTGTGTGTGTGTGTGTGTGTATATGCATCTTGAAGTTTCCGACAGTCTTACATGGAGAAAAGGAGCAGCTGTCCTCTGCTCCACTCTCCTGGGTACTTCCCAGGGCTAGACGAAATGAAAAGAGGAAATCCCCAACCTTCTGCTGAGAAAAGGGAACGGGCCTTCTGAGGGTGGTGTGGGAGGGATGACAGTAAATGGAGGGAGGGCGGGACAGCACCAGGCCCTGAGTGTGTGTACGCATGGTGTGAGCACGTGTGGGATCCCACCCAGGGGAGGACACTGTGGACGCCACACTCTGTGATTGCTCTAAGCAGATCAGGTCAGGGGCCCTCAGGGAGCTCAGAACAAATCAAATACCAGGGCTCCCTCCCAGATCTTCCCATGGCCAGGGGATTGTACGGGAGTTCCTGGTGCACAACCAGGTGGGGACCTATTTCTGCAGAAGCCATTAAATGCATCTCCCTCACAGTCATGCCCTAGGCACTGAGGCTAAGCGGAAGGGACTGCCCTGGGTGCCAGGCTGAGGTGGCAGGGGATGCTGGAGCCCATGCATCACTCCTGGGTTCACTCTGCAACATGGGCCAAGTCCTGGGGCTACAGGATATGAGGGGGCCGCTCTCAGCTGGAGTCTCTTCTGTAGGCAGAATCCTGGAGAGAAGATTCACAGGAGCTGGGGACATGGGTCTGGCCTGGCCTCCAGCTGGGGAAGAATCCAGGATTCCGGGCCAGTGAGGACCCCTGCCCCTGCGCAGCCCTGGACCTACTTGAGCTGGCCACCTGCTCATCCAGAGCTGCCCCAAAGATGGTGCCGCCCCGGGGGCTGCTCCCCGTTGTCTTGCTGGCTCTGTTCTGGGGGCCCAGCGTGGCAGGGGCCCAAGGTGAGCTCCATTGCTTCCTCTCCTTTCCTGGCCCCTCCTCATAGCCGGTCCTTGAGCAAGGCCACCCCCACATGTCCCCCAGGAAGCCCCCAGACCCCTCCCTCCCTCCCTCCCTCATTTTCCCCCTCCCTGATTCTCTCTGGCGCCCCCCCCCCCCCCCGCTCCCTTCCTGGATTCTCATCCTTCTCCAGCCTCCTGAAAGTCCATCTCTGCTTGTGAGGCTTCTCTGTCCACACTTGTCTGCCTGGCACTCGAGCCTTCTCACCTCCAGGCTGGCCGTTCCAGCCTTACGTCTGCCCCCACCCCACCCCAGACACTCTGCTCCCCTGATGGCCTTGACCAGTTCCCTCCTTTGTGCCTTTGTTCCTGGGCGCCCTGGGACTGGTGGTCTCTCCCTGCTTTGGTCCCGGCACCCTCCTTCTGCTCAGAAGCCCTGCTGGGTTGTTCCTCTGGCTCCTGAGGCCCACAAACCCCATCCCCAGAGGCTCCCAGAGAACACGGCTTCTCTGGTAACCCCGAGAACCACATTCCATTTCCCAGCACGAGGCCCTGCAGCTGATCAAGAGCCCCGGGCCAGGGAGGTCCCATGGGGCTCTGACGTGCTGACTCTTCGGGGTGGGCGTGTGCCTCTCCTCCTAGCCTGCCCCAAGGTGTCCCCAGGTCAGGGCCCAGGCCTGAAGCATGTGTCCCTCGTGGGGTGGGAGGGAGACCCTTTCCAGGAGCAGGGCACAGCAGGGGCTCAGGAGATGTGCCATGCCGACTAGAATGTGCTATTTCTCTCCGGGCAGGAGAGTCCACGGCCAGGGAGGGCCCTTGTACCCACAGAACCTCTGTCCCCCTCAGGGGCCCCAGGGAGCTCTGCCTAGCAGCCAGTAGCCCCTGTAGGACTCTCGGAAACCCCTCTCCAGCCCTGGGCATCGCAGAGGGGGGCTGGGAGGGGAGGTGACAAGGGACATCTTGAGGGGAGAGAAGTGACCCCCTTTGTGCCTCTCCCTGGGCAGAGACCGTCCCACTGCAGACCCTGAGCTGCTATAATGACTACAAGAGCCACATCACCTGCAGGTGGGCCAACACTCAGGATGCCCAGCAGCTCATCAACCTGACTCTCTACCGGAGGCTGAATGAGTGAGTGACACCAGAGCCCAGGGGCCGGGGGACAGGGAGGGTCGCTGCTGTGTGGGGTTGTGCCAGGGTTGGGGGATGCACCGAGGGCTAGGAAGGGGAGGCCCCAGTCCTGGCCCAGGAGCTCCTGCTCCATTAGGCAGCCTGCCAGGCCCAGGTTCTGTTGTCTGATGTCGGGGTTTTGGGAAGAGTTTTCTACATTAACATTGCTGTTGATGACAGTGATGGCGATAATCTTATTTCATCACAATCGAACACAATTGCCCTGCAAAAGTCGATGTTAGATTGTCTTCACTGTGAGGTGGGCAGGGCACAGGTATTATGCCCAGTTCACAGACACGCAAACCAAGGCTGAGGAGGGGAGACCACAGGGCAGCTGACCGGCCGAGTGGGAACCAATGCCCTGTGTCTAGCACGGGGGGCTGGCCTCCATGTCTCCCCAAGGCCCTGCCGCCTCCAGAGCGTGGGTTTTCTCCTTCCCCTTCACGTGGTCTCCGGGGTATAGGTCGGTTGGGAAGATTCCTTGCACCGTCCTGGGATCTGGGGACAGTTTAACTCACATTAATAGAAACAATTAACTGGCTGGCGTCACAGGTGCAGGGAGACCCGCTGGAGGCCAGCCCTGGGGCTGAGCGGCTCCCCACACCCCGCAGCAGTGCCCCTCAGCCCTTCCTCCACGCCCCTGGGAGCCCCCATCTTCCCGGCTGTGGCCCGCTTCCTCCTGCGCTGAGACATCCCCCCCCCAGGCACAAGAGAGGCTCCTGGCCCCCTCCGTGCTCACCCCCCTGCCACCTCCCTGGGTACCCTCTGCAGTGAGTTCCTACCCCAGACCTGTCTAAGGCTGCGCCCCGGGATCCCACCCGCTCTTGCTGCTCAAGAACATCACTGCCGCCCCAGTGCCCGCTCTCCCTGTGTCATCGACAGGCCCTCTCCCAGGATCATTCCCGATCCCTGAGCAAATGTGACCGGACTCCCACTTACCCCTGCCAACAAGGGCTGCAGCTCTGGGGGGCCTCCTGACCCCCATCTTCTTCAGCGGGGCCCATTCCCTGCCTCCCTTTGAGGTGACCCTCCTCCAAAGAGTTGTCTAGACCCACTGCGTCCCAGGTCTTTCCATTTATTCTGAACCCCCGCCCCTGGGCTTCTGCTGCCCCCGTCAGGCCCCCCAGACTGCTCCTGCCCAAGGCACTAAAGCCCTGCCTGCTGCTAAATCCAATGCTCAGGCTCTGCCTCCTCCCTTCTTGACCGTGGGCAGCACCTGATGCGGACTGACCACCGCATCCTCAGGAAGCACGTCCTTCTACTGGCTTCCAGCCACCACACTCTCCCCTCTCCTTGTGTCTCCCCCCTCTCCTGGTGTCTCCCCCCTCTCCTGGTGTCTCCCCCGGCTCACCTTTTCTGTCTCCCTGTTTGCTTCCTTCTTTTGTCTCCAACTTGAAGGGTGAGACGCCCAGGGGTTCAACCTTGGATCTCCACTCTGGTATATCCTGATCCAGGGACAGAGACCCAGCCTAGCCTGAGGCTGTGCACTGGTAACTCTCACACGCTCACCAGCCGCACCTGCCCCTAAGCTCCAGGCCTGCAGGTGCACCTGGCTCTCCACAGGTCCTTAGAGAAAGGTGTCTTCCACCCCCAATGTTCTAAACCAAATTCCTGCCCTGCCCCCAAACACGGCTCCTGTTCATCCCCACATCCCGCTTCACTAAATGAGAGCTCCCAGAGGCTCCAACCAAACAACTGGGAGGTATGTTCCTTTACCTTCTTTACCACCTTTCCTTCCCCACTGGTGCCTCTAATCCACCAGCAAATGCTGTCGGTTTCATCTTTAAATAGAATGTGAATTTGGCCAAGGCTAACATCACCACCGTGGGGCAAACCACTTCCTATCACTTGAATATTCCAGAAGCCTCCTACCTGGTCTGTGTTTTCAAGACTACCATCCTCCCCCCAACCCAATCTATCCACAACCCAGCAGCTAGAGGAAGCCTTTCAAAGCATACGTCATGATATGTCACTCCGTTGCTCATAACTCCACATTTTCCCCACTTGCTGTGACATCCAAATTCCTTAGATTCCTCTTAAACACTGCTGCCTGTCACCTTGCTCTACTGGTCTCTGCCTCCCACCCTCACAGATTCCACCCCATGCACACTGGGAAACTGCCTAGTCATACGACACGCCAAGCCTGTGCCTGCCCCAGGGCCTTTGCACCTGCTGTTGCCTTTACCTAAACTCCTCTTTCCCCAGAATGTGCATGGCTCCCTCCCTCACTTCTTTCAAGTTTCTGCCCCAAAGTCACCTTTTCCACAAGGCCTTCCCTCTCTCCTCTATTTGAAATTGCACCCCCACCCCAGCCCTTCTGGCTTCCTTATCTCCCTGCCCTGCTGTATTTGTCTATGTGAAGTTTGCTCCATTTGACACATGACATATTTTATTCAGTCGTGTCACGTGTGTCCCCCTGGCCCTGGACAGAGCCCCACACATGGTGACCACTTACTGGCATTTGTTGAATGAGTGACTCTCCCTCACGGTGGGCTAACCATGTTATCTCCTGGCAGGGACCTTCCAAAGCCAGTATCTTGTGACCTGAGTAACGACACGGCCTTGTTAGACCACCCTTGTTCTGGCTGTGTGTCCAGAAGATGTGTCATTCCCTACGAGTTTTTCGTTATTGCTGACAGAGACTACTTTTCATTCCGACCGGACCGGCCTCTGGGCACCCAGCTCACCATCACTCTGACCCAGCATGGTAAGGCCTGGGATTCCCAGATGGGGGTGGCCCCTCGGTGGGTGGCCAGTCTGCAGAAGGGCCTGGGAGTGAGAGTCTTCACTGGCTTGGGGGTGGGTTTGGTCTCTTGAGAGTAGAGGCTACAGTCTTCCTATGATGGAGGCATTGAGCGATAATGTGAGGAGCCCCTGGCCTATGGCAACTCCCTTGGCCTGGGCTGCCCCACCACCTGGAGCAGTGAAGGCTTCCCTTCCAGAACAATCCTTCCTATTCAGGTGGAAACTTTACAGTTCGAAAGCACTCATCACCAATCTAGTCTCATCCAATGTCTGCAACAGCCCAGTTTCAGATGAGGTGATTAAAGCCCAGAGAGGTCATATAACTCTTCCAAAGTGCCACCCCTGAGTGGTGGTGACAGTGATGGACCAGCGAGCGTGCCGTGTCCACAGCGGCCCCCAAAATCAGTGCTCTTGGGTGGGTGTCAATGATCATTTTATGTAAATAGTTAAGTTTCACGTGACTGTATATTACACAGACACATAACCGGCACTTCAATCTCATTAACTCAATTGTATCTGTGTTCAGAATGAACATAAAATAGAGATGTTCGGGAGGATCATCTTTTAAAGTTGGAATTCATGTGGTAAGAATCCCACAGACGACTGGCTTTTAGGAAACACTGCCCAATATTATTATTTAATAATTACAATAATGCGTGGTGTCATGCACTACTTTTTTTTTTTTTACCCCATTTCACTGATAATGAAATGGAGCTAAGAGAACAGGAACTTGCCCAAGGCCACTCGGATGCATGTGTGTGACTTAGCGTCCTGGGTCCCAAACACTGGGCAGCCCATTGCACCTGCAAGCCTCAGATGGAAAGGGGGCTCCGGCCTTTGTTTCCTGCCTGTTCTCATCACAGCAGCACCAAGCTGTTGCCCAGAAGAGGGGATGGGTTAGACCATGGTGAATTCATTTCAGACAGGGTCTCAAAACGTGTCTGATGGATGAGAAAGGGCCCCATCCTGGTGGGCCTAAGAGCATGCAGAGAGGCAGGAGACAGCAGAAGTTGAACCACAGGTGGATGCCATGCGCTGAGGGGCAGTGGGTGAGGAGCCTCGGGTGGGGGGTGGGAATCAGGACAGGCTTCCCAGAGGAAAGAGGAGGGAGGGCTGCAGGGAGGGCTGAAGGGTGGGTGGGAGAACGGAGCAGGAAGAGCATTCCTGGTAGAGGAAACGGGCACGTGCCAAGGCTGGGAGACGGGAGGGCAGGGCAGGTTGGGAAAACCATCCATCATTTATCCCAGGATCTGGTGGCCTGGTCGCAGGGAAGGTGTCAGCTTAGAAAGGGGGGAGGGAGCGTGGTGTTTGCCTCCTGGAGCGTATGTTCAGCAAGGAGGTCAAGTTCCAGCCCACACCATTTTGGCAATGAATCAGGGAGGCTGGCGGGTTTTGGGCAAGGGGACAGGTGTGCATCCGAGGCCCCCACACGTGGAGGTCTGGGACATTTCACTTCCTTTCTCAGGTTCTTGACCTGTGCAATGAGCTAGCTGACTAAAATTTCTCAGGTCAGGTGAATAGGTGTTTGCTTGGGTTCCTGGTCCGTTCAGGGAGCAGCCTCTAGAGCTCCATGCTGAGAGGCATTCCCACTCCCTGACAGGCTCAGGGGCTAGTCGTGCAGGGACTGATGAGCCTGCTGTAGGTGCAGGGGTGGGGGACTGAAGAGGGGGTTCCCTGTATCTGCTATTCCTGCCTTAAGATTTTCTAGAGGCTCCAGTGCTGCTATTGTCCACATCCAGCACAGAACATTTACATCTTGTTTGGACTCATTGAATTTTTTGTGCTTGAAAGTCACCCCTCAGCATTCAGACACAGAAACTTCAGGAAGGCGGGGGCCAGGCCATTCATGAATGAATATGCTCTCCCAGCAGACAGATGCTTGCTGTAGGCTGATGGAATTGTTTCTTGAAAGGTCTCTGAAGGTTGCCTACATGTACCTATTCGTGTAGTCAGTCATCGTTCACTCACTTTGTCCCCCAAATTCCCTGAGCCACTACTCTCAGGCCATGGGGATAGAGAAGGGCGTCAAGGTCCAAACACTGCCACCCATGAGCTCCTGATTACTTGGAGGGGCAGACATGGAAACACATGAATGCACCAGGGTTGTAAGGACCATACGACGGGCTATGGTGGGGCGGGAAAAGGAGTGAGGGATTCTGCCCAGGGGAGGGGAATCCAAAAGGAATTAAGGGGGCGACATTTATGCTGGGCTCTGAGAGGAGCAGGACCCTGGGCAGGTGGAAAGGGAAGGAGGGTGGACAGGGCAAGGGGGAGTAATATGAGCCACAGCGCCCTCTGCTGGGAAGGGGACCACACAGGCTGCAGGGTGGGCCCTGGGGACAGATGGGGACAGGTGGTGACAGGTGGGGACAGGGGTCTCCATTGGGAGCTTATTGCCAGCACTTCATGGAGCTTATATGATATGTGCACAGCTTTTGTTCGTGTTCACAGTGAACCCAGACAATTTTGCAGGTGAAGGGCCTGAGGTCCACAGAGGAAACGGGTCTTGTCCAAGGCCACTCAGCTGGTAGGGGCAGCACTCAGCCTGGAGCCCATCTGCCCACACAGAAAATGCTGCCCGACAGTCATCCAGCCCCTTATGGGCCCTTGCCCCCCCTTCCTCCAGTGCAGGCCCCGGCACCCAAGGACCTCCTGATCAATACTACCGGGGACCACTTCCTGCTGACCTGGACGGTGGCCCTTCCGAGTTCCCAGAGCCACTGGCTGTCCAGCCTGGAGTATGAGGTGGTCTACAAGCGGCTGCAGGACTCCTGGGAGGTCAGGACCATGGCCAGCTCCGCCCCCAAGCCAAGGGACCGGCCCTGCGGGGCCTCTCCACTAACCCCTCTCTCCCCTCAGGAGGCCTCCACCCTCTACTTCAAGTCCTCCCAGGCCGTCCTGGCACCAGAGCACCTCATTCCCAGCAGCACTTACGTGGCCCGAGTGCGCACCCATCTGGCCCCCAACTCAGGGCTCTCGGGGCGGCCCAGCCAGTGGAGCCCGGAGGTCTGCTGGCCCTCGCAGACAGGTAACACGGTCAAAGTTGGGGCAACGCCTTTCTGAGGGGAGGGCAGCTCGTCCCACTCCAGGGAGTCCGTTCTGCGGGATTCCACCAGTCTCCTGTGTCATGGGTTTAAAATCGCTTCCCTGGGCCAACTCCCTCCGGGCCCCAGCCTCTGCACACCTTCTGGCTAGGAGCACTTTCAGTGACAATGACAGTAGCCTGATGAGCAGCTGTGTCTTCCTGGGTGTTGTGCTGCGTGGGGACGAACCAACATCACTGTGTCGAGGAAACGAGATGCCCTCCCCATTTTGCCCAGTGGGGTGTGAAGGGTCACGGGATTCACTCACCCAGCTGGCGGCTTCAGGCTACGTTGAAACCCGAGTTTTTCTGGGGCCCAAGTCCATGATCTCTCAGAGATGAGGCTCCCGGTAGGCCCCCTGAGAGCAAAGGAATGAATGCAGGAGGGAATGAATAAGGGACTGTCTCCTCTCCCAGGGGACAAGGCCCAGCCCCAGAACCTCCAGTGCTTCTTCGACGGGGCCACCGTGCTCAGCTGCTCCTGGGAAGTGAGGTCCGAGGTGGCCAGCTCAGTCTCCTTCACCCTCTTCTACAAGGCCAGCCCCAATGCAGGGTGAGGGTCCCCTTTCTCCCTCCCCACCCTTCCCCTCCCCGCCTCGACACCTTGCCCTCTCCAGGCCTCCCCCTGACTCTGGGGGCCCCAGCGGAAGCTATGGGCTCCTCCCGAGGTCACATCTCTCCCGTGGCCCCTGCCTCCTTCTGCCCTCACCACCACCGTGATCCTCAGGGAGGAAGAGTGCTCCCCAGTGCAGAAGGAGGAGTTCCCCGGCCTCTACGTCCGGCACCGATGCCAGATTCCCGTGCCCAACCCCGGGAACCACAGCCAGTACACCGTCTCCCTTCGATTGAAGGAGGAGGAGAAGTTTATAAAGAGCTCGGACCACAGTGAGTTTGCTCTCCCCCACCCGCCTTCGGCGTGGGTGCTCCTGCAATGGTCCTGTTGCGTGTGTCCCCCACATCAACTCAGAACTCCTGATGGCCGGATCTCCTGTTTGTCTCTGTCAACAAAATGCAGCCCAGTGAGCAAAGGGAACAAAAGTCATTCGAATCTCTTCTTGAAGTGCTCAAGAAGCAATAATACAACAATGACAATGGCAAATAATATGAAGGAAGATTCAACCGATAATCCCCAGGAACACATCTTGAAAACCTGTTCTCCCCTTCCTTTAGCTCTGCTTTTCTGTTGAGCTGCTCTGTGGCCCTTCCTGCCAATCATGCCCTCCCGGTCCTCCCACCGAACTTTCCCTTTCATTCCGTGATTGGATTTTTCTCTCTCAGGTTCCCAAAGTCCTCCGCCAACGGATATTTTCCGTCTTCAAAATAACTGATCTATGATTGACTTCTTCAATCAGGGCTAGAATACGTGCAAAGAAATTTTAATTCCTCGCAGGATCATATCCCTGATTCTTCTTGTGTAGCAAGGACCCCATGCGAAGGAACCTCCTGCATGGCTTCTCAGGGCCCCAGGCTCTTCCACCCAGTCTTGAGTGTGTGCAGGAGGCCACAGCCCATCTGTCTCTGTCGCCTGGGTTGGAATCCACCAGTCACTCCGAGGGTCTGCCGGGTTACCATCCTTTTTCCACCACTTGTTAGCTGCCTGTCCTTGGCAGGTGACTTAATCATTCTGGGGCTCAGTTTCTCCATCTGTGAACTGGGGCAAATGAATAGGACCTACCATGTAGGGGTTGCTATTAAAATCAAGTGAAGGGATTCATGCAGACAGAGCCTGTAGGACAGTGCCTACAACATAGCTAATGCTCCAGAAGAGGACCAATTATTGGTGTTTTTGTTTTTACTTAAATGTAAGGAGTAGCCCATGCTTTGGGTCACCTCACTTCAAAACAAGTGTATCTCAGTATCTCCCCAGAGAAGGGCTGCTCAGGTCCAAGTGGACAGTATGGGGAAGTGGGGGTTCAAGGACCCAGAGATTGGCTGGACCCAGTTAGAGAGAGCACCCGTGACCAACATGGAATGAAAAGAACGTTCCTTTGGAGGCATGTTAGGAACAATGTTCCCTAAAGGTTTCCCTCCCTCCAGTCCAGATGGCTCAGCCGACACTCAATGTGACTAAGAGCAGAGACGGCTACACCCTGCACTGGACAGCAGAGGAGATGTTCTACAAACACATAGGTCACACCTTCCAGGTCCAGTATAAGAAAGATGCAGCCTCATGGGAGGTGAGGACCTCTGCCCCAGAAGGGGCTTATACTGGGGTGGGGGGTGGGGTGAGAAAACACACAGGAGAGCCCCAACCTGCCAGGTGCTTGGCTCCTAGCAGGGGACCCCTCAGAGGAAGCCGCTGAGATGTAGCAGTCATGACCCTGTGTGGTTGGCTGGTCACTGTCCCCACCCTTGGTGAAGGTCTATGGCTCACAGAGGTGATGTGACACGGCCAGAATGAACTATGGGACCCCGAACTGCAAAAAGGATGCAAACATCAGGGCTCAGAGGGCAGAGAGACAAGCTGGATGAAGGGTTTTCTAAAGTCACCGAGGGACTCTTCTTCAGAAAGGTCTTCTCTGGAATACAGCTGTGCAGCCGCTCCGAGCAGAGCTGCTCCTGATAAAGCAGGCAGGGCCCCAGCCCAGGGTTCCATCTCTGGCCCACACCCCAGGTAGCCTCGGGGCCTGTGTGCAGAACCTGGGGCTCCCCGTGGCCCAAGTCAGAAACCTCGGAGCCAGCCGCAGACCTTCAGCCTGGAAATAGGGAAACTGAAGCCAGGAGGGTCTGGTCAGTGGGGGAGCTAGGAGCAGGGCCCCCAAGTCCAGTCATGCTGCACAGCACTCTTGGGAAGGCCATCATTGGGGTCCAGGCTGTCCCTGAGGAGCTGGGAAGTTGGGGGGTTTTCTCAGAGTGAGGGTGGGACATGATGTGTCCGCAGGATTTCTGGGCCTTGTTGTTGTCCTAGGTCACAGGGATGCAACCCCCAGTCCCACCCAGAGTGCTCTACCTCTGCGAGCACTGGACTAGGGCCCTCCATGGGGGCTGGGGGGACTGCCTCAGACCTGGGGATGCAGCTGCAGCTGGGGACTGATGGGGCAGAAAACCCGGGGCCCTGAGGTGGGAGGGGTTTGGGGCTGTGCCCCCCACACACACACCAGCAAGTTGCCTCAGCCTCAGCACACCTGCTCACTCACGTGTGCCCTCAGGACAGCAAGACGGAAACCCTCCAGAACGCCCACAGCATGTCGCTGCCGCCGCTGGAGCCCTCTACCAGGTACCAGGCGAGAGTCAGGGTCAAGCCCACCCCCAGCGGCTACAACGGTATCTGGAGCGAGTGGAGTGAGGAGCGCTTCTGGGACACCGAGTGGGGTATGTCTCCCAGGCTTACCTTCCCTCCTGGGTACAGCCCAGCTGGGCAGAGGACAAAGGTGCTGTGGACACAGAAATGTGACCCCACCCCGCCCAAGTATCCTTTCTTCTATGCGTCACTAGTCACACGAAGTGACACCTGGTGTGCAACACAGACTGCAGGTGAGGTCTTGAGAGCAGCGAAAAGCAGTCCTCACCGTCACTCCTCCCTCAGACTGGACCTTAGCCCTCTATTAATATGGCCCATGGCTTCATTAGCCTTTGTGGCAGCCATCACCTAGTGACCCCTCAGCCTGAATTTCTAGTTACAGTCATCATGGCAGCAAACATCAGGAGCTATGGACTGAGGCCTGGGACTGGAAGGGTTTGGTCTGATTTCTTTCTGATTTTTTTTCTTTTAAGTAGGCTTCACACCCAGTGGAGTTCGACACAGGGCTTGAACTCACGCCCGTGAGATCAAGACCTGAGCCAAGACCAAGAGTCAGACACTTAACCGACTGAGCCACCCAGATGCCCCAGATTTCTTAATCTCCCCCATTTCCCTGCACTTGCTGCTTCTATAGTGACCACTGGGAGACAAGTACAAGACTAGGTCCAGGAAGAGGGAGGAGGTATTAGCAGCAAGGACCCCAGCCGCACCAGCCTCACAGGGAAGTCCCAGGAAGAGGATTACAATTGAGTGGAAAAGAGGGCTGGACACCAGGCCTAAGAGAAGAGACCAAGGGAGGCCTGGGGGGGCCCAGCCTGTGAGGGGCTTGACGCTGGGGCTCCTGATGGGCCTTTACCCCTCCTGGTTCCTCCACCAGGTTTTCCCATCTCTACCTCTCCAAACCTCCCTGTTACTTGCAGCTCAAGCTTATGTGTTGCCTCCTACGTGAAGTCCACTGTGTTTGCCCTGAGCTATAGTCATTGCCCCACCCTCTCCTGCTACTGGAAAGAATCTAACCCTCTGTGTTTTTCCTGATGTGGGGAACAAAGGCAAAAGAAATGTAGACAAAATTAAATTTTCTTATAACCTGCAGTCTTTACCTCCTGCAACTCCAAAGTGTATAATCAGTCACTGCTCACAGTCCCTGGGCAGCCCTTCCTCCCACGGGTCTTGTCCCCGTGCTATGATAAAACATCTTTTTGCATCGAAGACGTCTCAAGAATTCTTTCTTGGCGTTTGGCTCCGATCCCCAGCACTCCATTATCTGCACATCACTTCCCAGCGCTTGAACCTTGTGTTGCGGGGGAGGGCTGGAGGTCAGACCGTTTCCCTGTCCTTCTTAGCCCGTGTCTGGCCTTCCCTCCCACTCTGCACCCCAAGACAGTGAGCTGCTTCTGGAGCACCACAGCAGCACAGAGCAGGGTCTGGGGGCTCTGCCCCGGCCTCCCCTCCTCCCCCTCCTAAGCCTCCAGCTCTGTCCCGCCCCCCCCCCAATGCTAATGCTCTCTTTTTCCTTCCTGGCGCCAGCAGTGCTACCCATGTGGGTCCTGGTGCTCATCCTGGTCTTCACCACTCTGGCATTGCTCCCTGCCCTGCGCTTCTGTGGCATGTACGGGTACAGGTAAGGGGACTCCGTGATGGTTGGGGGTGCCCAGGCCCCCACACTGGCTCCCTCTAGTCCCTGCTCTGCCCCTTCCTCCCCGGGAGACTTGGACAAATCTCGCCTTCGCCCGGGGCCTCAGTCTCCCCTCTGCACAGGAGTGCGGGGCAGCTTCCCTGAGGTCCCTGGCAGCTGTACCTCCCTGGTATCTTTCTAGGCTGAACCGGAAGTGGGAGGAGAAAATCCCCAACCCCAGCAAGAGCCACCTGTTCCAGGTAAGATCTGGCTGTGAAGGCGGCTGGGGTAGTAGGGGCTCCTCACTCCTGCGCCCATGTCCCTGTCCCTATGTCTCCCCCGCTTTCCCGTGGCTTTGAGCACGAAGCCTAGGTGGCCCAGGAAGGTTCCAGGAAGCTCTAAGAGGCGGGCCGGCACCAGCAAGCTCGGCTCTGCCATCCTCTGGGCACCTGCAGACGCACAGGGCTGGCCCTGCCTGCAGGGCTCCCGTGGAGCAGGGGTGGAGTGGAACGGGGGCCTGCTAGGAGTCAGGGGGGCGCTCAGGGGGAGGTTCAGCTCTGCAGGGGCTGGTGGACTGACAGGAGGCCGAGTGGCTTCCCCGAGGACAGGACATCGGAGGTGAGCTTTGGAGGATCCAGGGTGGTGCCAGGTGGGAGAGGCCTGCGGAGGGTGGACACAGGACCCCTTCGTGAAGGGAACTGAGGGGGGCGGGCAGTGAGGCCGGGCGCACCTCCCGGATGCTGAGATGGTCACAAGGTGGGTGTCATCGGCATGGGGGTCACGGGGACCTTTCGGTCAGGCACGGCCCGCTTGCCTGTGGAGGGGTCTTGTGGCTAGTGGGGAAGAAACTATGGTGTGGGTGTGGAGGCAGTGACACCCCAGATTTGTGGCCTTGCGAGAAGAAGGTCCCCATCCCCAGGTGCCCGAGGGCCCACGGCAAGTCCCAGCCCCTCTCCGGGCCTCTCCTTCCTGGTGTCAGGAGGCCGGGGCTGGTCCTGACCTTGCTGAGACCCTTCTATGTCTGGGGGCTTGCTGTATCCCCTGTGAGTCCTCACTGCCCCCCTTCAGCTTCTCCAGGGCCCACACACCCACAGCACAAACGTCCCTTCTCTTCCCAGAACGGGAGTGCTGGGCTCCAGCTCCCAGGCAGCCTGTCGGTAATCATCAGCAGGAGCCCCCCACACAAGGAGCTGCAAGGCAGCTTCTTCCCGGAGCTGGATGGGTGAGTGCCTGGGCACCGGATCCGCAGGAGGTGGGAGGGTGGCCCCATCGCCCACGCTGAAGGCTCAGAGGCAGTGGCCTCCGGCCTGTGGCTCAGGATGGAGAGATCCATGGAGGTTTGTTGCTCCGAAGCCACAGGCACACCGGTTGGGTGTCAGGAGGAACTTCCTGATTCCCGGGTTAGGGAGGGCCCTAGCTTGGACTTGACCCGAGGCAGAAGACTGGAGCAGATGACCTCTCCCTGCCCTGCTGCCCAGGAAGACTCCACACTGGGGTGCTGATGACATGGGTGGGGGGGGGATGAAGGGACGAGGGCATGACTGGGCATGCGTGGGCTGGGCATCCACCTGGCCCCTGAAGCTGGGCGGATGAAGGAGCACGGGGCGAAGGGAGCCACCCCTGGTAGAGGAAGACCTTGAACAAGAGCATGGAGGCTGGCGGGCGAGACCCGCGGGGGACTGAAGGCCCGTGCCGTGTCCTCTCTGGGCTTGCTCCCCAACCTTGCCCTGCCCTGTGCCCTCTGTGAGCTCTGGGTCGGGCTGGGCCTCCACCCTCCACCTCCCCACCACCATCCAGCCCCAGCATGAGCTGAAGTGACTGCCCCAGGTGGCCCCAATGTCTCTGTGCCCGTTCCCCCCACAGCTTGTTCCCTGTAGACTACAGGCACAGTGAGGTGTCGCCTCTCACCACGGAGGACCCGAAAGACAGCAGTGAATCACCATCGGAGCCTGACACGACTCCAGCTTCCTTGGACCTGTACTCGGAGCAGGCCCGCGGCCCCCAGCCAGGCCTGTCAGCCCCGGTGGGCAAGCCCAAGAGCCAGGCTTCTGGCTTCGACTTCAATGGCCCCTACCTGGGGCTCCCCCATGGCCGCTCCCTGCCTGACGTGCTGGGCCAGCCGGGGCCCCCACAGGCAGGCGTGAGCCAGAAGCTGCAGGCTCCGGGGTCCCTGGAGTACCTGTGTCTGCCTGCGGGGGAGCAGGTGCAGCTGGTCCCACTGGCCCAGGTGGTAGCACAGGGCCAGGCCAAGGATCTGGAGAGGAGCCCTGGCCCAGGCGCAGAGGGGAACCCCTCCCTGGAGTCAGGGGTAGGCCTTGGCCCTTCTGCACCCGGGCTGATGGTAGGCGGTCAAGGCCCAAAGAACAGCCCCAGCCTGAAGGATGGGGCCCTCACAGCTCAGCCCACTGGCTCCGGGGGCCCTGAGGATGGCTTCCAGGCCTCTGGCTATGTCACCACTACAGACCTGGCTCTCCCCTTGCCCACGGGGCTGCCTTCTGTCTCCACAGTTCACCCTCCGCACCTGCCCTCAGACCAGAACCACAGCCTCGATCTTAGAGTGGCTGGTGGGCTCCATGCAGGCCCAGCCCCCAGCAAGCCAGAAATTGAGGGCTATGTGGATGTCCCTCCAACCCCAGGCCAGTCTCCCAAGTCCCCTTTGGGCAGTCCTGCCCCTCCTACGGCCAGCGGCCCCATCCTAAGTCTGGAGGAGCCCAGAGCAGAGGGGGCCCCTGCCTCCCCACACCCTGAGGGGCTCCTGGTCCTGCAGCAGGTGGGTGACTACTGCTTCCTCCCTGGCCTGGGCTCTGGCCCTCTCTCACCCCAGATGAAGCCCTCTCCCCCAGGACCCTGTCCTGAGATCGGGGACCCTGACCAGGTGTTCCAGGCCAAGAAGGCCCTGGGCCAGGCCATTCCCCAGATGCCAGCCATCCGGCATTTCAAGGCCCTCAAGCAGCAGGACTACCTGTCGCTGCCCCCCTGGGATGTCGGCAGGCCTGAGGAGGTGTGCTGACACCCTCCAGCTCCTGGGCATATGAGTGGGAGGAGGTCTACCTCCCCTCCCACCGTTGGAGCAGATGGAGGTGGGGAAGTGAGTCAGCCTCCTCCCTTCTTACTTGACCTTCAGCCAATCGATTCTCCTCTCCCCACTGCCTCCCTCTCTCTCTCACAGACAGACAGACGGACACAGACACACGCACATTTTTCTCTCATGTTAACTTACTTTTAGGTTCCAAATTATTAGAGCTTCCTGTATACTCATTGTATTCGCCCCTGGTTTTTTGTTTTTTGGGGTTTTTTGTTTTGTTTTGTTTTGTTTTTACCAGATTTCCTTGCTTTCACCACTGTCTTCTTTCTCTTTTCACTGATTTACTAGTGAGTTTGAGGTCTGAGCTAAACCCATTCTGAGATGTCGTGTCTCGGTCAGACCCTGTTCGGATGCCGACGTGTCTGGTTACGTTGAGGACTTGGGTCTGCGGCCTGGCCCCGGCAGGCGCGGACGCTGCCCCAGTGTGGAGGGAGGCAGGAGGCCCCCTGGCTGGGACCTGGATGGGGAAGGCTTGGGAGAGCAGTGCAGGACCTGGCTTACTGGTGGCAGGCCCTGCAGCCCCAGGTGCAGTGGCAAAGCCCCAGCATGATGGGTGCTCCAAGCACTGGGCGTGGTAAGGGGCGTGCAAGAGGAGAACTGTGCTGAGCTCACCGGAGGCCCCGCCGATGGCTCGGGAGGTAGGGACGGCAAGCCTAAGAGATCAGGGTGTGTGCTGCCCGCTGGCTACAGTGACCTGCTTTCTCTGTCCCGGCTGGTGGGGCCTGCGGAAGCTGGGATGCGGAGGGGCGTCCAGAAACCACGTGCACTCCAGAAATGTTGGAACAACCGTTCAACAAAGAAAAAAAGGAAAATGATCGAAGGCCTGGACCCTTTGGGGCTTTATAATCAGAGTCACACTGTTGCCCTCCCTCCAGAAAGAACTTAACAGCTCCCACCTCTCCCGGCCACGGCCCAGGGGCTTTGGATTTATGTCTGGGCCTACACAGAGGATTATGGTTTCTTAAAATCTGTGCCTTTCTGATATGCGGGGGAAAAAAAGGCATTAAATCATTTTAATTTGCATTATTTGATATCTATCAAGTTTGCATGCATTTTTGTATTTCCTGGGCATTTGTATTTTATGACCGGGCTAAGCCTGTTAGGGACTCTGTTCTGTGGGGTGTTCATCTTTTCCCAATTAACTTTTTAAAAACTGTTTACATGCAGCCTTTCATGGATGGTGCACGTTTTTCCCCTAGTTTGTAGTTTGTCTTTGAATTTTGTATCTGAGGCTCGTAGACCTACACAATGTAGGCTTCTCTGCATGTTGAGATTTGCCAGCTCGGCTTTTGGTGTCCAATTTACAAAGGCCTTCCCCCGCCTTTGAAACTACATTGGTCCTAATTTATATTTTTTCTAGTTCTTGTGTTTCAAGCTTTTTGTGTTGAACTGTGATGGGTTTGGAATGTACGAATGTCAGAGGGAGAGCTTCCCTTATGTTTTCCCCGAACAAGTGGCCTGGGTGTTCTTCCATTGTTTGCTGAAACACCCACTCTTCATCCATGTGTCCAAAATGCCAGTTTATGATCTAGAAAGACCCTGATATACTTAATGGGTTTCTAGGATTTCAATTTTCTTATCTTACATTGTTCTCTCAATGGTACCCCACTGTTCCAATTGTTCTGGCTTTGTAATGTTTTAACAAGTGGCAAACCCAATGTTCTTGTTACTCTTGTTCTCAAAGCCCTGTTCAGTACAGCAATGTTGGGGGTTGGGGGTGCGTAAGGGATTATAAACAATGTAAATATTCGCAAATAGTGACATGTTACAATAATAACACTTTAGGCTACTCTAAAGTAGAATGCTGTGTTACGGCGGAACGAGGTAGTCCTACATGGATTAGAAAGATGTCCAAGGGAATGAATTCCAAAATGTTCAGACATGGTTAGCTGAAAAAAATTGCAATAAAATATTTTTATTGTACAACAAAACCCAAACCCTAAACTTGTGTCTCTTTATGTTGGAATAGCAGGGGAGGGGTGTGGTTTGAAACCACAGTTGCATTAAGGAGGATGAATTCTGTGAAACAGAAGGGCCTGTGGGTCTTTGAGGCTCCAAGGCAGGCTTAGGGACAGTGTAGACAAGATCAGAAATGCAGCGCCAGCAGAGTGAGAAGCAGGTGGAGGTCCTGGGGACAACCCTGGGCGGAGCTGGGCTGTAAGCCAGGACCTCCTCGCCCCAGAATTGTTGCAAGCCTACCCTGAGGGGAGGGACCTCCTGGAGATTTGCCCTAATAAACTCAGTGAGAGGTGGATTCCAGGTGCAATCCATTCCTGCTCTAGAGCGGTTGAATCTTGAACCCAGCCTCATCCCCCTCCCACTTGCCTGGTTGACTTACTGTGTTTCTCCCAGTTTCTTTCTGAGAAAGAGCAGTCCTGGTTTCAGTGGGACTGGGCTCGGGAGGGGAGCTTCCCATACAGAATATGGAGCATCCCTGGTAGATTATGAAATGTCAGGAAGGGGAACCGGATGTAAAGCGGGGAAAGGATTGTGTGTTTGAACCCTTAGGCTGCAGACAGCAATCCCACGCAGGAAAGCCAACTCAGGGTGGCCCCCTTATCATTGGGTGGGTATGTAGAGGTGACTGCACGTGGATTCACAGCTAATGAACTCACAACAAATGCTGGGCCAAACGGAGGATGGTTGGAAACAGGACCCAAGGAGTAGCAGGAAGTGGCCGCGTTCTCTTCCCTGGGCCCCAGGGCTGGAACGTGAGCATGGACCGATGAGTGGCTGCCCTTGTCCAGAAAGCTCTCATAGACACTAGAGCTCAGCTCAGAGCTCCAACCTTGACTGAGCCTCTACTTGGTTGTGTCACCTTTGGGGGCCACTTGCCATCCCTGAGCCTCACTGTGAGGCCTCCCCAGCTGTAAAACTCAGGTTCCAGATGGCATCTGCCAACCTGTGCCCTGAGCCTGGCTCCCCCCAGGCCCCAGGGTTCCCTCTTGCCCTCATCACTTGGCTGATGTCCCTACAAGCAGAGCTCAGGGCCCCGAGGACAACCAGGGCCCAAGTCAACCATCACCGGCTTAGAACAAACAATGTAATTCAGGTCAAAGTTTCTGGCAATATGTTTCTAGAAGGAACTCCTCACTCAAGGTTAGTGGCTTAGGTATGTCCCGAAAGCCTCATCTACAACCCCCAGGGCTGTCATTTCTACAAGGATGTTGTTGAAATTTTAGTCTCCAAAGACTCAAAACTATGAGGAGTGGCACCCTAAGGCATTTGCATCGAGTCTGCTGTGTCGAGGTTAGAAGAATTAGTATAAACGGTTGCCTGGAATGACTTGCTGATCTGTAATCCCAGCTCCCTTTCCTTCCCGCTTCTCCCCTTCACCAGACTGCCTCAAAGACACTTGCTCATGGAGGCTGTGCTGGCAACTTTGTCCTCTGTGAAATCTGGGCCCGGCAAAGTTGGCATTTTGCTTCTAATTTACTCTCCCAAGGTATGAACAATTCTTAACCAGGTCCTTTGCTTGAAGGATCAATGGCCTAAAAGGCATTAAACCACTCAGAAATGAAACAGAATTCTTAAAGAGATTCTGTTCTGTGTGAGGAAGGCTAATACCCTCAAATTTCTACAGAGATTAGAATTGTAATAGAATTAAATCTCTACTTTCTGCCTTTTACTGTTATGTAAATTTAATAGGCTCGGTCTGTAATAGTCTTCCTGAAATTATCAAGCAAACACACTGTTCTTGATATTTGTACTAACCATCCATCTATGTCCCTATTTAACTTTTAAGGCTTGTAATTAGTTTTCTTCATAAAATTAATAACTTTCACCATCCTTAATTAGTGCAACATTTTGCTCTCGAAATAATAAATATATATTTATACTTCAACTGCCTGATTCAGTTTCAGCATGAGAAGTATGTAAGCAAATACATTGCAGGAGGAGAAAAGAGAAGCTGGTGGGTACATATAGGTGATAAAAGGCAAAGTATGCGTAGTGTTCAGAGACAAACAGTGGCTGATGCAGCAGAAGGACATTTAGGGAGGTGGTAGATGCCAGGCGAAGAGGGGGGCAATCTTGAGGGCGAAGAGAAGCCCAAGGAGAAAAGGTCTGTTCCCATAGAGGGTGCGGTGGGAGGCTGGGGAAGGGGCCCTGGGTTGGGGTCTAGAAGCCTATCCTTGAATGCGGTGCTTTGGAGGGGCCAGGGCTGGGGACCCAAGGAGGATGACTGTCCTACCCTTGGGCCGGTGCCTAGGAACTGTGCTGCATCAGGAAACACTCCAGAGCCCTCCAAGGGGCAGCCCATGCCGGACCCCCAGCTTTGCCTGCCCATGAGAGGGGTTGACATGCCACATGTGCTTAGAAGCTTCCATGGAGGTGGTTCAGTTCCCAAGTGGGGTCATTGCCTCCCTATGGCACCCAGGACATTCGTAAGCCCCAAACAGACCAACAAGCCCCCACCCTCTGGGCCAGGTGCAGATGTACCTCTCCCAGTCCCCTTCACCCTGAGCTGGGAATAGAGGGAAGAGAGCCACGCCACCATTATCTTAAAACATAGCACAGGACAGTAGAGATTGCCAGCAAGGCTCCGAAAGTCCTTAGGCATGTATTTAGATAATCCCTAAAGAAAAAGATAGAGACAGCCTAGGAGATAAAGTGAATGCCAAGCCATGACACATCTGGTTATGAATAATAGGTGTAGTCCAATTTATTTCTTGCCCCTGGCTTGCTAGAAACTACATAAGCTTTAACCAGATACTTAAAAATTCCTCTTTGTCTCTTAAGGAAATTTAGAATAAGCAAAAAAGATTGCTAGTTGTCTCCAAAGGAAAATCACACTTTGTGTAGAGCACACGCACTGTAATGGGTGAGGGAAATCTGATTCTAGGCTTCTACTGTTTTTGAGCTAGTTTATGATTCCGTAAATTGCACGTAACTGATAGCAATGAAAAGCAATCCTTTTCTCCAGAAATGCAAGCAAATTCTGCCCAGTG